TATTTGATTTGATTTGAAAATATTTATAAACATCTAAAATTTGAAGAGTTATAGTTTTAGAAGCTATTTTCTTAAAATTTTATTAAGACAATTACTAATTTGGTTCTATAAAACTAGGGCTATTTTGATTAGAAAAACTTTTTTTATTTAATATACAAAATTGATTTACTTAATAAAATTTTAAGAAAATCAAAGATTTTATAAATAGCTAAAATTTAAAGAGTTATAGTTTCAGAGGCTATTTACTCAAAATTTTATTAAGATAATTGCTAATTTGGTTCTATAAAACTAGGGTTATTTTAATTAGAAAAATATTTTTTATTTAATATACAAATCAATTTACTTAATAAAATTTTGAGAAAATCTAAGATGGCTAAAATTTGAAGAGTTATAGTTTCAGAGGCTATTTTCTTAATATTTTATTAAGACAATCGTGAATTTGGTTCTATGAAACTAGTGTTATTTTAATTAGAAGAATATTTTTATTTAGTATACAAAATCGATTTACTTAATAAAATTTTAGGAAAATCGAAGATTATTATAAATAGCTAAAATTTGAAGAGTTATAGCTTCAAAGACTATTTTCTTAAAATTTTATTAAGGGTAGGCTTTCTCGGAATAGTTACACAAATATATATATATGTATGTCGATCTTTTTAAATATAATGCAACTTGTAAAACTTGTTACAACTAGCAAGTTAATATTTTAATATCGTGTTTGACCTTTCGTTAATAGCGTAAAGGCTTTTTTTACTTGTTTAAATAAAACAAGGTTCTATTAATAATAGTTGGTATAATGTTTACTTTAGTTTGACTTCACGCAAAAGCTTGCCCATCATCTTTTGTAACTACCCATCATCGGGTTTACCCTGTTTTTTTTTTTTTTCTTATTATCGGTTTTTTTTTTTTTTTAAAAAAAAAGTTTTTACTACCCGTCAATATATAAATAAGACCAAAAGTTATGGTAAAAACATATTTTTATATATAAAAAATTTTGAAGATGTTAAAATTTCTTTATTTTATATATAGTCTATTTTTAGCTTTCTAATTGTTCATTTAATATCCACATATAAGGTTGATCGTAATTGGGCGACATGACTTTTAGCAATAAATCCTCAACGAAAAAAATATGAACGATCACATAGAACTATATTTGTTAGTGAACAAGATCAATTTCTTTCATTATTACTTCAACATACAACTATTCCGCATAATTCTAATAAAAAACAGTCCTTATATTGGTTACTAAACGTCGAAAACCTACCAAAAGATGAAAATAATCAAGTTTGGGTTCCTCTTATTCCAGGGTATACAATATATACATTTCTTGCTAGTGTCTATTTTCATTTAAGCCTTGGGTGGTGTCCTGATAAACACGAAATCTTATTTCAATAGGCTGATTATGCTAAAGATTCCTATTTTACTAAATTTGAAGTTTGTGAATCACATCCAGATAATCTTTCAAGTTTTTTATGCATATATTAAAAAAATATATAATTATACTGGAAGAATATCTGTTCCATATATATTAGGACTTACATGCACAGAAAATATTAAGTGGTTGCGTGGTTTTGTAGCTAATTACTATGATATATTTAAGGATTTCAAAGTACAGTATATTGCAAACAAAAAATTAAATACATTAATAAAGTTAGGAAAAAGAAAGGCTAATGATATTGATAAAGAATTAGCAACCAATTCTGGAAATTTTATCAAAGCGGGGCTTCTTTTAATCTTCGAAGGATTAAATATCGATAATCGTACTGCTCAAGCAATTACTCTTCAATTAGAAGAAACTAAAATTGAATTAAAAAATACCAAAAAAAATTACGAGAATCCTCAATTATGATAGATTAACTTTATGAACAATTAGAACGGACTTCGAAGTATTTATAACAATGATTAAAATATATATTAATTAATTAATTAAAACGTAATAACTTATTAACTTTTAATCTTAGCGAAAGTACTAATAGTATAGTAGATTCAGAATCTGTATCAGATATAATTAATCAACTTATTAATAAGGGAAAGCTTGGCTCTTCAGTTTTAGTTAGCACAAACATTTATCTCGAATTAGTATTGAATCAGTCATGCCCGATGTGTGGTAATAAAGAAATTACAAGTCGCAAATATACAATTAAAGTTATTGGATTGAATATACATATTACTGTTATATGCTCTAATTGTGGGACGCAAATGAACTATAATAATGAGACTAATTGCATGGATTTTTCGAAAGCAGTAGCAGCTGCAGGATTAGTAGGGAGTATGAATCGAGAAGAAATTAGAACAATACTCTCATTAATTGGATTAATACAACAAAATGGCATAAAACAATATTTTCACAATCAAGATCTTTCTATAGCTAAATTGGTAGAAATTGCCAATAAAAATGCTGAACAGAATTTACATACGATATGTGAATTAATTCAGTCGCAAGACAAATACATTCTTGAAGCTTCATTTTATTGTTCATGGAGTCATGTCTGAGAAGCGATACAAGCAAGTGGAGAATTAGTATTTAACAGAATAATTGAGAGTGAGTTAATTTATTAAAATAATTTATTTTAAATATTAAATAATTCGTAATAATATAATTTTGTATAGATTGTTCACACAAACCTATTATTGCATTCCACGTTGTTGAAAAACCAAAAGAATATAAAAATAAGAATGAAAAAACTATAATTATAAATAAGAAAAATTATAATAGCAGTTCTAAACAAATGGAACATGCTATTCTTATCGCAATAATTGATAAAATTACACCAATTTAGAAGAATATAATATTGTTCTTGATATTGCTATTGACGGTGACTTGGATAGCAATAAAACACTAGCTAATCAAAGTATTATACATAGGATTTTTGGTGATTTAAAACATAAGTCGAAGCTCATCAGAAAAAAAATAGGTATATAGATATGTAATATACAATATAGAACAATATTAATTATTGAAATTACACTAACTTAAATTTATTTATTACTTTAGTGAACCACGTTAACTGGAAACAGTTTGAACAACCTATTATGAAATATTATTCCAAGTGCATATATGCAGCAATTACTCATACTGCTAATTCGGATATAAAAAGTCCAACAGATAATG